CAAATTTTTACTATTAACCGACCTCTTAACTTATAATTTTAAGTTTCTACCCTTTAAAAAGACAGCTCGACACCAACATACCTTTTTCCCTTTGGCAGCTGGTTTAAATAAGATAAGAGATTCTGTCGAAAATCCTGGTGAGGATGGTACAGCGTGGTCTCTTTCGAGATCATGAATATATGGTGATGAACTTTCCGAATATGCAAAGAAGCCACTGCCGCTAAAGGCAAGTCGACAACTAGTCGTCTCGATCGACAGCCTTGCTGCAGAATATTGGGCTGCCAGAGATGATGCTTTACAGTTATTGCATGGTTACACGTACAGTGGGGCAATCCACTGCATGCCTTTGAGTGCTCAAACAATATGATTTTGCTGTCAAACTTTTTTACTGTAAAAAAATGACTCAATGCAATGCTACACATAACAATTTTGTACCCATTTTAGTTCATTAAACCATATTTTCAAAATTCATGCACCTGTTTCATTTTGGTAAAAAACTTTTTTTTGACACATTGGCGTTACACATTGAATTCAATGTTTCTTGACTGTAACATCATGATTTTTTTGACCGTATTCTTTCACATTCATCATATTCATAGACTGTAACATCATGATTTATAATTTTTTTTTTTTTACAGTTTCTTGACTGTAACATCATGATTCAATTCTTCTAATGTTACTATCTTACTTGTGAGAACTTTACCATATATAAAACGATAAGGTCTTGCATATAAATGGCAAATTTTTAGTAGTTCGGTGATAGGGCCAGCACGCGTAAATGTGATAGAGACAATATCTCATTCCCAATACTAAAATAATTTTATATTTTTATAAATGGAAGCTTTAAATTCAAGCCAACAAATTACATTTTATAACTCAATAATAAGTATATATACGCATTGATTGTCCGTCCTATTGAAGGAATAGAAATCAAACTTCTTTTTGTTATAATCCTAAAAAATTTCTAAATTCAAAAATATTCCATCAATTATGAAATACTATTACATTATTTATCACATGAAATTATATCTTATATTTTTCCTTTTTTACCTAAAGAATAGAAGATTATGGGTGAGTGGCCCAACAACTTTTAAAGTGTGACATGTTCATGGCTATGGAGAAACAGCTTTATTAAACCAGAGGGGGAGGGAAGAGAATAATGAAGGACAGCGGAGAAAATGTAGGGCGGGGGAGGGGACGCAAGGAGGCGTCCAATCAAGAATCAATATCCAGGCATTCATGCATGACGAAAGCAATCAAAATTGTCATAAACAAAATAAATGCTGTCTCAGGTCTGATTTGACTTATTTGTCCTAGTTTTTTCGACAAAATTTACTTCTCTTCTGTATTTTGGTATGGTACTGATTTGTGACTAGACGGTTGGGCCTGGCAAAGCTTATACAATCCTTTTTTTTTTCCCTGTATTGTTTTATTGGGAGGATAAGCTGGGATTTCTGTGAAGTATCAGTTTAATCATCAGCACGTCACCCTTTAATTAATTACATTTAGATGGATTTTAATTTTTTTAATTAGTTTCAGTTTTACTTTAAGCTATTTTATTTAGGATTATATGTATGTTAAGATGCTATTTTTTTATGAAATACATTGTTACATGATTCAAGTAAAGAAAACATTAATTACAAATTTTTCTTGTAAATATGGTTAACTACTAATTAACATTTCCTTTGCTCCACAAACTTAATGCTTTAAGTTGTTCTTATCGACAAAAATGAATGGATAAAATAACAAAAAATATCTAACTTTATCATTTTATTTAAATAGTTTTTAATTTATATATTTTTATTACATCAAAATAAATTTTTAATATTTAATTTACATTCAAATAATTTTATAATATTTAATTTATATCTAAATAAATTTTTAGCATTTAATTTATATCTAAATAATATTTTAATATTTAATTTGTATTTAAATAAATTCTTAATTTTTAATTTATATTTAAATAAATCACTATCATAAATTAATATTTTATTTAAAATATTAATACGTAATAATAAAATCATAAAAATATAATAAAAATATAATCAAATTAATATGATATTAAATATTTTAAATCGATATAATTTATCAAATCAATTTAAATATTAAAATTATTTTTAATCGATTATTTTATGAAGACTTAAAAAAAATTATTATACTCCTTTAATCACCAAAATATCCCCATCAGATAATTGTTGGAAATGACGTGTGAATTATCTTATGGCTAAAGTAGGGCAATCCTGATCATGTATTGGGAATCCATCAAAAAGGGATTTAAAAAACGAGAGTCTCAAAAGCTCGAACAGGAAGAGTGGGGGTTGAAATAGTGGGAACAAAGAACAAAGGGAGGTTAATGAACGGCTGAGATTTAATGGGAATGTAGGCATCGAGAGATAAGGCCATGCGAATGCAAAGGGACATTGCCTTGGACTGCATACATTTATGTGTTTGTCCACGTACGGCTTACGTAGTGAAACTAGCTAATTTGGAGAAAGAGAAACAGAGAGAGCTGTTCAAGAGCTGAGACCCCTACCTATGACAATGAGCTTGAAAAACAGCTAAACGCGGTTGGAAGGGGAGCTAATCAATGGGGGGAGAGAGAGAGAGAGAGAGAGAGAGAGAGAGGGTAGATGCTATTATTGTCAGGCTATATATATAGAAATGTTCAAACATCAACAGTTTTGAAAGTGCTCAAAAACCAGGAATGCTAATGAAAAATGATTCGATAAACAGTTGTGGGAAACCTTCAATTATAGCAGTAAACACAATCAAACAAATGACAGGACCCTGATGGCTGCCCGTCTGTGGTTTTTGAGTACTTATAGTGAGAGTAAGAAGATATTTTCTGCCCTCCTCTCCTGAATGTAAAAGTAAAAACACAATCAAGAACGAGTGAATGAATAATGACAGAGCCCAGATCTTTCATGGAACGTCAAATAGCCTTTTGTTTTGCAGTTTTTTTAATTAAATAGCCGAAATTTCGTTAAATATACCCATGATTTCTCATTAATAATTTACTTCTGCTTTTCTAATGATGAAAAAAAAAATGAAAGGCATTAGGAATGGGTTTGTCTTAAGAAAAGTAATTCCTTTTTTTATTGATTTAAGAAAAATTAGACAAAAACTCATGGGTTTATGAAGAGAACGATCATGACGATGAGCTTGACGGAAAATTCATAGGACTTTTTGTCACTTTTATTGATTAAGACGTATCAAATACGTAACTTTTATTATTAAGGTTTCATTTAAATAGATGATAAGAATGAGTACAATAAAATTAAAAATAATAATAAAATTTATTATAATTATAATTAAAAATTTTAAATAAAAATTTTGTGTTAATTCAATTTCATTGAAATTAATATTTTATTTTAATTTAAAATGTAATGAATTTAATTATATCGTATTGAAAATATGAACGATTGCTAAGACTCATTTTCTTGGTCGAACTAATGCTCTCTTTTACAACAAGGGTTTTTTTTTTCTTCTTTAAAGAATGTGCTGCATTTTGTGGGACTGTTATTATTGTTGTAATTATTACCACTATTGTTTAAAAGATACCTATGTCTTACACTACCATAGATTATAGTGACGTCATTTTTAATAAGGGATACCCCACTTGTAAGATACGTCTTTATAAGGACATACCCCACTTTGCAATAGCAAAAAGAAAAAATAATATTAAAATCACAGTGTATTAACTATGGTGTCCCTAATTTAGGTCCCATAGAAGTTTTATGAAATGAAGAAGATAAAAAAATTTTGAATTAAAATTTAATAATTATTTAAAATTTTATTTTTAATTAATTAAACCTTCAAACATTAATTTTCATCAATTAAATCATTGTTAAAAGAAAAATGATTAACCATTTTTATCCAATTGAAAATTTAATTGAATAAAAATAAAATGTCTAAAGATTAAATTAGGTAAAAAAAATTTAAAGTTCAACTAATATAAAATATAATATTTATTGTTTGATTGATTGCAATAAAATATCAAAAATTTAAGTGATAACATAACAAATTAAAATCAATAAAGTAAACACTATAACTATATTCATTGTCACTTTAACTCAACTGTTTATAAGTTGCTAGAGCTAGTAGTATTTTTTTTCATATACATATATATATAATAACGAAAATACAAAGGATTTTTGCATTTATTCATTTTATATATAACTAAGAAAGAGCAGCTAGTAAGGAGAGGAGCTTGCATTATTTATTAACCATAATTCATTCCTTCTGAAGAATACTCTTATGAGAGTAAAATTCTAAATGTATTAAGTTGATATAAAAGAATAAATCTTTAAAATTATTCGGAAAGAAAATTAAATGAAAACAAAATCCAGTTTAGCATTTTTTTTTTTGTACATAAAGCAAGTTAATATCTATAGTATATGTACACTGTTCTTGAGAAAATTTTAGCTATGATAATCTGAAAAGTTCTTATCCTTGTAACAGAGAGATTTAAGATTCAAATCTCTACTCCTCCCTGGACTTCCTCTAATGCACCTAAAAACAAAAATTCCGATTATTGGTAGGTGCAATTTGCAGAAATCAATAAAATAAAAAAAGCCCTATCTAATAATTTATTCTTTCATGCACATAGTACTGACTCAAATGCCAAGGAGCAATAGTAATAATTTCAAAATGAAAGGATGTATCTAAAAGGAGTCAAAATATATCTTTTTTTTTTTGGGAAAGAGGTTATAGTACGGACATAAAAGAAGTTATAAATACTATAATTTTAATTATTTTAAATATATCAAATTTTTTTAAAAAATTGATTTAATTGAGTAAAAATTCGGATTCAAATACAAAGAAATAGTGCTGAAAAATATTAATGCAAAAATGAGGGGTACTTGCCTACTTGGTGTGATGAGTAACGCCATCTGCAATCATGGTGCTCATGCTCCAGTATGCAAAGGCCAGTTGCTCCGGCGGATCTGCATCTAATTAAATTTACTTGGTGTTTTCCCCGACCAAAACCATTAAAATTTATGCTACGCTTAGGTGTGCCTACTTCATCCCCCCTGTTGTGACCCAAAGTAAATGAATAATAAAACGGCCAAAATCATTCAAGTTTCCCCTCATTCATTCACTCCCTCACTCTCCCTAGCTAATTGGTTTCCAGATTCTCTCTCTTTCTCTCCCTTTCTCTATCTGAGCTCAGCTGTGCATTACACTGAAGACCAACACTTGAATGCCCCTCTCAGGAAACATCAGCATGACAACTTGCACTTGTACTTTTTCTCTATTGGTAACCCTTCTCTCTTTTGCTGTCACCTCTCTCTCCATCCTGTTTGTCTCTCCTACTTTACTTCTCTAACATTGCGTTTCCATCTATTTATACCTGTTTTTTGAAACACTTTTTCTCAACCCAAAACCGAATGCCCAAGTTTCATTACTAATCAAAAAAAGAAAAAAACTTGAGAGACTAAGAGCTAGCTGTTTGTTTTGGTTTTTCTATAATGTCTCCAGCAGCCTCCACAAGATGGTGTCCAACACCAGAACAACTTATGATCTTAGAAGAGATGTATAGAAGTGGGATTAGAACCCCAAATGCTTCTCAAATCCAACAAATCACTTCTCACCTCTCTTTCTACGGCAAGATTGAAGGCAAGAATGTTTTTTATTGGTTTCAAAACCATAAGGCAAGAGACAGACAGAAGCTTAGAAGGAAGCTTACCAAGCAACTGCAACTACAACAGCAACTTTATCATCAGCATCAGCTTCAACAAAACCATCCTAACCACCATTCTCTTCACTATGATTCTCCTGCCTCTCCTGCCTTTCAACATCTTTCATACTATAACTCAGCATGTCTTTTTCCTCAGGTAAAAATCAATAAATAAATAACAAGTGTAAAAGGGATTATTTATTTTACGATTTCCATTTCCCTTTTTTCTTCCAATTATTGGTTAGACTATAAAATCACCGTACCCTTCCTTTGCTTCACCTTTCCTGTGAAATCATTTTTCCAAATTTTGCATCTTCAAAATTGTCCAAAGGAGAATATTATCTTACTATTTTTATACCCATTTTCTTTCATTTCACTTGGTATACGATAAATCTCCAATAATAATAACAAGTTTATTTTATTTATATGTATAAAATGAGAACCGAAATTTATGCAGGGTTTTCTTACAAAGTTTGTAACGGTTTTATGCAGAAAGAGGAAAAAAAAAACTGATGTAAGATATTGTACATACATAAAATTTAAAGATCAGAATCAGGTTCCCTCTGACACAGGAAACCGAATTTTATGTGCAAATATTAACATCCATAGTTCAAATATCATCCACACACGAGTATGCATGCATGTGTTCTTGTTTTTTTTTTTTTTTTAATTCAATGAAACTAGAATTCAAAATTGTCTTATTTGCTATTAGCTTTTAAATGAAGTAAAACAAATGAATGTACAAAGAAAATGACCTCTTCTTTTTAATACCATGGTCCCCTTTGTTTCTTGACCCTTTTCTCTCCATTGCTTAATCTTCACTACAGAATTCCACCCAGTTTTATGCTTTTATTCATTTATTATATCTTTTGCCTTTCATTTCGTACTCGAATTGTTCTCTTGTGTTTTTCTTTACCATTTAGTAACCATTTTATGGTTAATTATTTTGGTAGCAGGTAGGGGCTCATGAGAATGCAGCAGCACAACAAGTGATGAACTACACGTGGAAGTTTGATATCCCAGAAAGAGTGGACATGGATAAAGCCACGATGAGAATGATTGGCAGTGATTGGTTGATGATGGTTGATCTGGGTCCCCTTTCATCACAATGCAACAACTCCACCACCAGGCCACCCCTCAAAACCCTTGAACTTTTCCCAGTCACTGCCTCAAATCTCAAGGAAGAGTGCAACAACAGCTCTTCCGAGCCTCTTTCTTGTACTACTACTAAATCCACACCTGCTAAAGTACCCTTAACTCTCCCTTGACCCCCCCCCCCCCCAAAAAAAAAAAACCCAAAGCTCTCTCACTCTTTTATCTCTTTTGTTGTAACTTGTAACTAGGTTTTAGTTTTTTTTTTTTTTTTTATGAAATCTGGTTGTAACTTTTTTTTTTGTTTGCTTAGGTTTTTTCTATTAATGTGTGTGTGGTAATTAGGCTCTTAGAATGATAAAGACCTAAATTGTCTGGGGTTAAAGCTGCTGCTCCTCTTACTAGTACTATTACTTTTTACCTATTAATCTGGACTGTGTTTTTTTTCCCCTTTTCGTATTCCAATTTCAAATCATGATCAGAATTTTAGAATATAGCTTGAAAAAGGTTGTTGTTTTTCTACATTCTTTTTCAAAATTTTCAGCTTTTCTCTTGGTGTTTCTTAAAGCTCGCATATTTATAAGCGCAGCACCAGTAATTGATGGACATCTAGGTACACTGAAATCAGCTTTTTTTAACTGTTCTTGGATCTTTCAGACAAGTCAATGCAATATTCATAAAAAAAAGAAAAAAATATTTTCTTTTACATGAAGCATCAATCCCTCTCCCATTTGGACTTTTTATTTGAACTGCCAATACAGAAAACCTTCTTCTTTTTTCCCCCCTTAATTCTCAAACACAGTACTCCGTGTATAGTACTTAATAGTCAATACAATCAAACCTACATTATTTTACAACTTTGAAGGCTATATATATCCAGACAACTAGGCTTTGTTAAAAGTTCAACCTGTTAAAAATTTTTCTTTCAAACTAAAATTATTTGCAGTTTTTGACACAGTTATGTAAAAAGTTTCAAACATCTTACTGTTTAAGATATACCAGATTTTGAACTGGGTGTTTCATCTGTTGATAGTTGTATGAATTCTTTCTCAGCAGGTAGATTCGTCGTTCAGAGGTTGCTTGAAATCGGGCCTTTTTAACTAATTTGATAAATGAATTACATGTGTCGTACTTAAAGTTTTAATTAAACTTTTAATAAAACCTGCTTTTGATAATATTGTAGGAAATTGTTTCTTTGCAATGTAAAGAATTATACAATATACTATATCAGATAAGCTTAGAAAAAAATATATATCAGATGAAAAATATTTTCTTTTTATGTTTCTGTAAGGAGAAACACCTTATTTGTTTTTGAAAAATAAAAAGGATTTCAAAGTTAATCCAGACAAAATTTCCATTAAACTTGTAAGTAATATGAATATTAAACATTACACATTGATATAAAGTTGACTTATCTTGTAAGTTTGATAAAAACTTCAACAAAAAGTACCTACAGTTGAGTTTGAGGGTTGATTTGAGAGTCTGACTGGAGAATTTTCATCACATTAATTAAAGGATACGGTTTGTGATTGGACCTTTAACTTTCAATCAGACTTCCAAATGGACTATGATAACATTCTATATTAGTTTAAAAGGAATATAACGTTGAATTTTGCCTTCAAATTCGAGTCAAGCCCTTAATGTCAACCCCTATCTCTCCTCCTCTCTCCAAAGGCTGACTATACTTAAAATAAGGGGACCCAACAACGTAAATTATTTCAGCTTGTGATTACGTAAAACACATGCACATTATTTAATGAAATATTTTCCAAACAATGGCAAGAAAAGGATAACTATAACTACTCTTTTGTATGCAATAATAATAATAATAATAATAAAAGCAGTTGGAGACAAACATAATAATAACAACAGCATGCATAACAATTAATGGAATATTTCCACTTTAGGGACAAAAGATATAACTCCAGCCGATAGAATTTAATTACCATATAAGGAGTAAGCAAGCAACATCCATAATAAAAGCATGCAACAATAATATATCAGTTAAGAGACTGTGAAACAAAATTTTAAAAACTACCCCCCAACACTGCATTTAAATCTTAGGCCAATATAGATTTTAAACAATAGGCTGTTAGATACCACCTTTTTTGTCTCTCTCAGGCTTTTAACTTTTGTACAAATGTTTTGGGAAAGGAAACCAAAAAAGAAAAAGTGATGAATGCAATGGCAAAATCTTAAATAATCAACAGTTGTTGATAAAATATTAAAATTTTAATTTTAATGATCAAAATTTAATTTTTGATAATTTTAAATACCAAAAATACTTCGAAAAATGTTTATAAATGACTGTAACTTGATTTAAACTTGAGTTGTAGCCACTAGCTAGTGGTTTCGATGGGCTAGAATTGGACTGGTTTTGGGTGGGCCTGAATTGAATAGCTAGCCTAATTTCTAACCTCTAATATTACAATCTTAGAAACTTTAAATTTTGGGAAGGAAAATATTTATGTTTTTTATTTATGAAGACAAGGAATTAACAGAAGTGATCAAGGAGCTCTTACCTTTAGAAAAATTGAGAGCTCAAAGAATTAATGTACTTGATAATCAACACTCTATAACAAGTTTCTTGAATAAATATGTGTAGTATGACATAATTGTTACTTTAAAAGTTCTCCTTGTGAAATTGGAATCGAGTTGATGTTTCTAGGCTAAATTCATGACATAGCTTCTTTAATACTTTGGTAAGTGTAGCACTTCCACAGTAGAACACACCTGCAACAAAATCAGCTTATGATCAAAATACAGGGGAGAAAAATCAATGGCATGAGGTAAAATTTTAGCCTCGGTTTACCTATTCGAGAAGATTGGTGAGTATTAGCCATTTGAGAGAAAACTTTCCTCCAGTTTGGTCTTGCGAAATGTGTTGTTATCTGTGTTAAAAGTTCCATGTTAGAAAATAAGCTGAAGAAAGAAGCCTATTATGCTCATGGAAGCTCAGTGAAGTGAAGATTACCCTGCTTTCTGAGACGATATCAACTCCATTCTTAGCCTGTTGGATTTTCTGCACCATGCCAATGAGGGCAGACCGGGCATCGCCTTCTTCATACACACTAGTCAAGTAGTTGTGCATTTCTATTATTTTCTGCAATATATTCAAAGAGCATATAAAAAATCATGGTTAGATTGGTTGATTGGTGTATGTTTAGGGAAATAGGACAAGTGAAGTGAAGATTTTTTAAGCTTTGAAACTAACATTTTTGTCAAATTCTGCAATGTCATCCATGACTCCTTTAAACCATTCGAAGGAGCCTTGTTCCCTAGTTACCCAATAGAAATATGCCCTTTCAGGATACTTTTTAGGAGTCTTGACACAGCCACAAGAATCTTCCTTTTCTAGACGTTCCTGTGTTAGTCGAATTCTTTCTAATGTTAAAACTTAAACATCAAATTTTGAAAGGATGATGTCAACAGATTGGAATCTGGTTTTTCCAAACTCACAGCTGGCTTGATGCGGCTCAGCAGATCTTTTATGATGCTAATAAATGGAGTTGCCCCAATTCCCAAACCAATAAGGAAGAGAATGTCATACTTTTTATAGTTTTGAGCTGGTGCTCCATATGGCCCTTTGATGATGATATTTGGAAATCTGCCAAGAAAGGGAAGCTATGTTATATACCAGCCACCAGGTGAAACAATGTATTGAGAGCTGTAAAACTACCTTGAACCAACAACTGACTCACCTAGCTTGATTCTGTTCATAGTTTTTATTTGAGTCTGATTTTTTAGGTGCTTTAGTTTCCATTCTCATTAAATTGCCTCTTTTTGCTTCCACAGTGGGAGGTTCACAAACCTGCATTCTTTGATTCAGATTGCAGAAAGGAGAACAAGAAAACGAATAGCTAGAGGCAAAAAAAGACTAAGAAGGAAGACATGATTTCATAAGGTGCATCTAATTTTATGTAGGTGAATGGATGCACCTATGACCAAGATTATGACCTTTTGAAATATATCTTTTAGTTCTGTAGTCCAATCCCCCACGGTTCGAATGTGAACGCTTAAGTAGTCATCTTTTGGGGCCGAAGTGATGGAGAAGGGATGCCTGTAAACATATATAATTCTGACGCATGGATAACATTTTTCTGATAAATAGAAGATAGAGTAATATCTGATATATGTACCACTCAAATTTTGATATATCTGGACACTTGACAAAAAGATACATTCCACTTTTATATTTGAATCCTTGAGGCTTGGTCACGTATAGGGCCAGAACATTTCCTGTATATATCACAGCCTAAAATGTACAAAGCATTAGTAACCCAGGATCTTGAGACTGAACGCACAAGAGATGATAGGGAGGAGGGGTATATCATGTATGCATACCTTAATGACGTCCACCATATGCTTGTGTTCCTGGAATCTGGTAAGGAATCTCTCGCTTGCATATACTAACATTGGAATCAGGAGATACATCCATGTCTGCAGAGAAAGAGAGGGTACCATATTCATAGGGAATTGATTAATGTTCTTGAAGAATGACTTGGAATTCATTAGTGGTCGAACATACCGTCTTCAAGTACCAAGGCTTTTCGAAGATAAGGAAGTAACCATGCATAATCATTTGGACATAGACCAAGGTCAGCAAATGATGTGCATACCAGAAGGCATTGAACCCGGCCAAGATGGTAAATGGCCATGGTAACTTGACAATATTTCTTCTAAAATTGTGCGTTGCCAGTGTAAACGAAAATAACATTATAATCATCATAAGTATCCCAGTAATGCCAACGGTATTGTTTACTAGATCTGCGTAAGTCGGTTGCACGTAATTAAAGGATGGCCCAAGAAATGCCAAGAATTTTGATTTTGGGCATCTAGCTATTTCCGGATAATTACAAGCAAGATGCATAAAAGTATGTAGAAAGGACCAAATGGCTATTGCCAGTGCAATTAACTTGTGGAAGTTTATGTTGTCATCAAAAGGGATTACTCTGTGGAGAAATGTAGATCTGAGCTTAGTAAGAGTTCTTCTACACACTGGGAGGAGAATGAGAGCCATGTCAAGTTTGAGAGCCTCAGCAGAACCCTTGGCAACGCAGACACAATAACCTGTGATTTGATACATTGGCGACCCATAGAACAGGATGTACTTCCAAAGGAAGAGGATTAAGTTTATGATTATAAAAAGTAAAACAACCCATATTCTCCTCCAGTTTTCATTGAGAAATTCGGCAGTAATGGATGTGTATTTGCTTATTGGAGTTCTATATCTTTTAGGGATCATTGCTTTTGCCAGGGTTTGCGATTTCTTACTGATCTTGTTGCATTGATCATCTGAGGCCACCATTCCCCTTAGTAGAATTTCTAACTGCCATATCTGTTAAAAAGAGAAATTGACAAAATTATTCGAGCTAACTTATATATCAATCTGTTCAAATTGGACAAAAGACGTTGATGGATAATCTCTGACCTCTATATATCCCAAGTGATCAGGATCCAGCTCTTCCATGATTAAACCTGCATATGTTGCGGCTTGCTGTTTCAGTTTCCCAAGCTTGTTTGCCGAGGCACTCAACACTAAAATCTTTTTCCATGACAATTATGAGAAATCCAATTATGGTCTCATAGAAAGATTAAGCAGAATACAAAGAAGCAATCACAAGTTTTTTTCCTGTTCTCACCTCCTTCACCTCTTCCTCTGACAGCTTACCATCCCCATTCTTGTCACACCTGGAAAAACCAAAAAAGTTCAATGGCTCTTGTATCAGCTCCAGCTTGTAGCGCATTTAAGGGAGAGAGGGACATGGGTTTCATACATATCAAAGAAAATCTGAAGCCGTGAATCGAGATCTTTATTAGCCATTTCTTCCCAGAATGAATGCAACTGTTCCTTGGTAATTCCATCTTCCGGGTTTAATTTTTTACGCCTTGCTAAGGCATCAAATACTCCCCCTGCAAATTCCTTGGAATCTCCCATTCCTACAAGGCATCATATCAAGGTTTCAACCTGTCATTGTTTTTAAAGGAATATTGGATATTACCATGGCAGAAATTTATCCAAATGTGCTTAAGATTTACCAATGCAGACACCAAATTTATCCCTAAAGATCTTCCCATCGACTGCAAACTGGTTGAAGCGCCTTTCAGTTGATTTCCAAGCATCCGTTTCCTTCCCAGTCACCGTTCTGTCAAGGAAACGTAGACTCTGAAGCCCTTTCGCAGCGGAAGAGGCAGTTCTTTGCGCTTTAGAAATATTTGGTGGAGCCCCATTTATTCTCTTCCTAGCAGTACTAATAAGCCTCCTGAAAGATGTCGCCCTGGAAACATTCCGAAGTAACCCCAGCGAAGCACTCGGATTCCTGGATATCCCGGAAGCAGTACTCGAATTCCGGGGTAACCCTGAGGAAGCACTGGGCTTCCTACTATGGGATGCAGTTTGTGAAGTACTCGTGTTCTTGTTGAAGGCTGGTTCATGCGGGGAATTGGATTTCCAAGAGTCATGATCTTGATTTAGAGGAACATCAACCATTCTATCAATCTCAATGCTCTCAAGCATCCATGTGCTTGAACTTTCTTCGCTTGCATCTCCTGAGTGATTTCTTGTTCCTCTGTCCCTCATAATTGTCTGTTTCTTCACCTTGTAATGAAATTCGAAAACAAAAAAAACATCAATGGTGGTGACAAAAGCAATCCAGAGGGATGTTGTTTGAGAGAAGGAGAAGAAAATGTGAAGAAAAGAAACGGTCAAACATGAGTTGAAGAGGGGAAGACATATTTGAGATTCAGTTAGTTATGTTCGTTTGTCTGAAAATAGGAATTGTTAATGAGAGCCTGTCAAGCAGAATGAGAGAGCTGAAAATTTTCTACACCCTCTTTACTTTTTTTCATTTTAATAACATAAAAATAAATAAATAAATATAAAAAACAGCTTTTTAATAAACTTTGGTATAAAAATTTAGTCATCTTAAAATATATGATTATTTTATATAATTTTCATCTAAATTTTAGCAATTTTATACGTTCTTGTTAGTAATTTTTATGATAAGATCACAAAAATATTAAAATATGGAGTTATTGAATTAATAAATTTTTATAATTCTTTTATAATCTTGTGTGCAAAATCAATAATCTTGAAATATATGATAATTTTACATAATCATAATGTATATTTTAAGTAAACTTTTATTCATATTTCGTATCATAATTTTACTTAAATGTATTTAAATATGAAGTTACTTAATTTACATTTTTTTTTTTAGTTTTTGTAATTTTAATATGCAAACTAGTAATTTCAAATTACATTATTATTTTATGTTATTTTTGTCTAATTTTTAATAATATCGGATGCACTTTTTAGTGAAAATAAAAATAATAATTCGTTGAAGGAAAAATATTAGGATTTTTTAAAATATAATAACCGTTTAGTTAACCACCGATACAGTTCCAGCTAGACTGGACTTCATCCACGTTCGTCTATAAAAAACCTTATAGCAACTCGAAAAGGGTAACCTCAAAATGAAAATGTGAAAAAAAAAAATGAAACGACGTCGAAGAGGCAATAGCTCGTAAACAGGGACAGATCCAACGGCCGGAAACTTCCTAAATCATGGGCGGTACTCTCTTTCTGTCTTCCTTTCTCTTTTTCTCTTTCACACGACTCAAACTCACTGAGTCGAGTCGCCCCCTTTCTTTCTCTCTTGCCTCTCCCCTCTTTCACCAAACCCTTAACTTTCTTTCTCTCTTTCCTATACCTCCGCTCCCTGCCCTTTTTCGTCTTTTCCCCTCCAATCTCCATCCGACGGCTCCCATCCTTCCACGTCACCACCGTCTTCTTCACCCTCTTCCCCCTCATCCCCTTCGTCCTTTTTATTTAACTCCTTTTAGGGTTCCCAGATTTAACCAAATTCTCATTTTTTTTCCTTCGATTAAAAGAAAAAAAAAACAGAAGAAGAAATCTTGAAATCTTCAATTTCTCGACTCTCTCTATTTCTTCGTTTGCTTTTTAAATGAGGTATATATTTTTCTTCTTAACTTCGTTTTATTTCTTCAATTTAATTTCGTTCTGATTTATTTTGTTTTATTTGTTTTTTATTCTGTTTTTAATTTCAAAATTTGAGAATTTCTTTTGTTTATTTGTTTCTGTTAGGGTTTTGATGAACTGGCTCTATTCGGAAATGGTGAAAATAATTTTTTGAAAAATTTGGTAGAATTGAGGATTAGAAATTATTTATTTTTTTTGTTTGGTGTTTTATGTTATGATGGCGATTGAGAAGAATAACTTCAAAGTTTCACGGTTTGATTCGGAGTTGTCGCCTGGTAGTAAAGAGACGACTGTGTCAAGTGATGAGGATGAGCTTCGACGTCGAAGCTCAGCCGTTGATTCTGATGATGATGATGAATTTGATGATGCTGATTCAGGAGCAGGTTCGGATGACTTTGACTTATTGGAATTAGGTGAAACCGGGGCTGAATTTTGCCAAGGTGGGAACTTGACTTGTTCTGTTCCTTTCGAGTTATATGATCTTCCGGGATTGGAAGATATTTTGTCTCTTGATGTGTGGAATGAGTGTTTAAGTGATGAAGAGAGGTTTAGCCTTACTAAGTTTTTACCTGATATGGATCAGGATACATTTATGCGGACTTTGAATGATCTTCTTAAGGGTAATAATTTTCATTTTGGGAGTCCTATTGAGAAGTTGTTTGATATGTTGAAAGGAGGGTTGTGCGAGCCGAGGGTTGCACTTTATCGGGAGGGATTGAGTTTCTTTCAGAAGCGGCAGCATTACCATCATTTGAGGAAGCATCAGAATAATATGGTTGTCAATCTTTGTCAAATAAGGGATGCTTGGCGTAATTGTAGGGGATACAGTATAGAGGAGCGGCTTCGTGTTTTGAATATTATGAGAAGTCAAAAAAGTTTGATGTATGAGAAATTGGAAGATGAGGATTCTGAATCCTTCGAAAGAGAGGATTTGGGTGATGGATTGTGGAGCAAAAGAGTTAAGGACTGGAAAGCTTCTCAGAAAAAGGGTCGCTACTCTGGCTATGGAGCTGATCAGAATTTAGAAGTCATTTCACGAGGACAGCTGATGGCTTTGGAAACAGCAAAATACAGGAAGCAGAATCCGAAAGGTATATTGAAGACAGGTGGGTCAAAATTTCCTTCTGCAAAAGACTTTGGCAGCCACATTTACCCTGGTTTGGATATGAATTATGAGCCATATGGTTTGCCAGGAACTCTTCCTCGACAGAAATATGTGGGGGCTGGGGCAGTACTCAGGGCAAGGGATCAGATGAGGTTAGATGATGATGCTGAAGACCCAATGTTTGGAATGGGTATTCAACAAGATCGACATGCTGTGCATGATGGCATCAGGGGCAAATCTGGTTCATTGAGAGCAGGGAAGAAGTATGACCTTTTAAGAGGGGAGGAATTAGCTGGTGATAGTTTCATGGCTTTGCCTTTGTCTTCAAAGCATGATTTGCAGGCCTATGGTAGGAACAGGAATGTGAATCAGTTGTCTGAGGCAAAAGTGTATACTTCAAAGCCACCTAATATGAGAACATCATATGATTTTGTGAAACAGGCCAACTATTCTGAAAACCATCAGCAATTTGCAGTTGGAGATCAGATAAAGTCTGTGAAAGGACGAACTCCACCACTGCCATTGAAAGGGATTCAAGTTGAATTATCTGAACGTGCTGAAATGTTTTGGCAAAATAAGAATCGAATAGAAGATGTCTCTGTGGATTCATCAGTTAGATCTGATAATTGGAATATCAGGAGCAAGAAATGGAAAACAGGGCGAGAGTCTCCTGATGTTAGTTTTAAATCTTATAAAGCTACCTCACCACTGATGAATGATCGATTCTTGCATTCTGATAGTAAAATGAAACCATCACAGGAGAAGATCAGAGGGAACTATGTGCAAAATGGAGTTCCAGTGAAGACCGTTTCAAAACGTAGTAGAGCATTTATTAAAAATGAAGAAACAGAATCTGACTCATCTGAGCAATTCGATGATGATGATGAGGATAGCAAACCTCTAATGAGAAGCAAGTTGGCATACCCCATTGTTGTCACAGAAGGTTATCAGTTGTCGTCATTGAAGTCTGGCCTATATTCTAGAAAGACCAAATCTTTGAAGAAAGATACTATGGATGATGGACTGCCTCTTGATGGAATCACTCGCTTCTCCAAAAAGAGCTTTGGGGAAAATGTCCATGTGCCAGGTGTAGAAAGCTACCATTTGAAACGAAAACAGAAGGGTAAGATGCTTGAAAGCAGTCCCTTGCATAACTCTGCTTCTAGAGTTTTGGATGAGGTTGATAGGAAACAAGCTTGCAAGTTGGGAAAGAATGTTCAGTTACGAGGGGAAACTGGTACTGGTGACAGGTTACACATGTCCTCATCCAGGGCCTACCCTACTGAGAAAAGGCAGAAAGGTCAACTTGACTATGATCATTCTATTTCTCAGTCAAATTATCTGCATAGTTATCTTGTTGATGAGGAGGATGCTTCACCTGTGACAGTATCATTGGCAGATGAGCATAACCTGGGTAGAACTGGGAAGAAAGTCCAGAGCATTGATGCATATGATTGTCATGAAAAATCTGAAGCTTCATTGCTAGGGTGCAATGCGGTGACAAAGAAGAGGAAAGGGAAGGAATATGTGGCAGACGTCAATAGAAGTGGTGAAGATGGTGACCTGCAGTCTCACCTTCAGCAGCAAACTGATGTTTCCCCTTTCTTGAAGAAAAAGGGAAAACGGAAAGTGGAAATTGATGCTCCTGCCTCAGATATGGAAGCTTCTGAACCACACGGTGCGGAAGTGGGGCCCACAGATATGGAGATGGAAACCAAACCACAGAAAAAGCCATTTACTTTGATTACCCCTACAGTTCATACTGGTTTCTCATTCTCAATTATACATCTTCTTTCTGCAGTTCGCACGGCAATGATTACTCCACTTCCGGAAGATTCCTTAGAGGTTGGCAAACCTAGAGACGATCAGAAGGGAATGCAGGAAGGTGGTGTGAACAGGGTTCTTTCTTGTGACAACACAGTTACCAATAATTCAGACCATCCTGTGCAAACAGGAAGTGTTCCTTCTCTTACTGTTCATGAGATTGTTAATCGTGTGACAGTGAATCCTGGAGATCCATGTATCCTTGAGACACAAGAGCCACTTCAAGATTTAGTTCGGGGAGTTCTGAAAATTTTCTCATCAAAAACAGCACCTTTGGGAGCTAAAGGTTGGAAGGCACTTGTTGCTTATGAAAAGTCCATAAAAGGTTGGTCTTGGGTTGGTCCTATCACACGTAGCTCAAACGATCATGAGACTATGGAGGAGGTGACATCTCCTGAAGCCTGGGGTCTTCCTCACAAAATGCTTGTGAAGTTGGTTGATTCATTTGCAAATTGGCTAAAAAATGGTCAAGAGACTCTCCAACTAATAGGGAGTCTTCCTGCACCACCTCTTGAATTGATGCAAGTCAATTTAGGTGAGAAAGAAAGGTTCAGAGACCTAAGAGCTCAGAAAAGCCTAAGTACTATTAGCCCAAGTTCTGAAGAAGTTAGAGCTTATTTCCGTAGGGAGGAGCTTCTTAGGTATTCTATTCCTGACAGGGCCTTCTCTTACACAGCTGCTGATGGCAAAAAGTCAATAGTTGCTCCTTTGAGAAGGTGTGGAGGTAAGCCAACTTCAAAGGCTAGAGAACATTTTATGCTGAAACGTGATCGGCCACCACATGTTACTATTCTTTGTCTTGTAAGAGATGCCGCTGCGAGATTGCCCGGAAGTATAGGCACCCGTGCAGATGTTTGTACTTTGATAAGAGACTCTCAGTACATTGTTGAAGATGTTTCTGATACACAAGTTAATCAGGTTGTTAGTGGGGCCTTAGACCGTTTGCATTATGAACGTGATCCTTGTGTACAATTTGATGGAGAGAGGAAATTGTGGGTTTATTTGCATAGAGAAAGAGAAGAAGAAGATTTTGAGGATGATGGTACTTCATCTACTAAGAAATGGAAGAGACAGAAAAAAGATACTACTGAGCCATCTGATCAAGGAGCTGTAACTGTGGCTTTTCATGGGACTGGGGATCAATCGGGACTTGATTTGGGCTCTGATCTTAATGTTGAACCTTCGACAGAGTGCTGTGATAGACAAAATACGGAGGATAATGCTGACACCAGTCATGGATCTGAGCAGGGTAACACTCAGCAGGATCATCCAATGACATGGGAGCCTCTTGACCTAAATCCTGTGCAAGAGAGCAAATTGATATGTCAAGAAAATTCCACTAATGACGATTTTGATGATGAAACTTTTGGGAGAGAAAGACAAGTTGGACTCCTGAGTGCAAGCTTATTATGATCAATATTTCAGGTAGTTTTCTGTGAAATTTTATGGTGTTCAGACTTTTGTTTTAGCTGTTGCCGAGTTTATAAATTTCTTTAACCAGATAATTCTTTGGAGGGTAATAACTTTTTCATACCATTTTCACCAATGCGGTTTTGGTATATTTATTATGAATATGTGTAATTATGAATTTAGTTGACACTTAGAAGGCTATTAGCCTTGTTTCAATAAGGTCCTCTGTTATGACACTTCTATTATGGGTTTTTGGTTGATGAAGAATGGATGCATGTAATGCCTGTTTTGTTGAGAAAACAGCAGTATGAAATTGTTGAAATCTAGAAGTTGTGCGGTTCACCATGGTTAATAGCAGAGTGAAGGATTATTTTATGTTAATTTATTTTATGGTTTTGTGGTCTAACTTGAAGAAAAGAGTTGAAGATGTTTATACTTGTTGTGCTTGCCACTGACCCGAGTGGTTTCTGACGAAGTAAAACACTGATTTTTTTGCAGGTCAAGGAGTGTGTTACATAAGTTGGAAGGTTACATGTATAGTGATTCTAGCACAAAATGTAGATTAGAAAGTGATCTTCTGAGGCACAAGAATGTGTCTAGTACAGGTGGATACTTGGTGATTCTGCATCCCTTAAATATTTTTTGATTTCTTTTTTTGATAATTTGAAATATATAGTTGATATGTTCACTGAGCTGATAAAACATGCAAATTCGGCTCTTGTAATGTGCCATATGATGCATTGCAACCCTATCTGTGCATAAGAATTCAACGATTACGTACGTGCTTACGTTCATTTACTTGAGCATTTCTCTGCCATAGCAGCCATTTTACATAATCTTCTAAGATCGGTATGTTGGATCCATATAAAATTTGTAGAGCTTCTCGGAAACAGTATTTTCTGCTTATGCCTTGGTACAAAATCAACACTATATAATTAATTATACTAAAATTATAGAGTATATATATATGTATATATTAAAATCCACGAGAGAGAGAGAGAGAGAGGATTTGAAGGAATAGAAATTAGCCCCCCCAATTTGAACGACTACAGAGAGGTACGACGAAAAGGAAAGAAAAATCTGTTTCAGTATATGTTTGAGAGTTTCGTGCATCCAGTGGAATTCTTTCAACAAACAATTAACGAATGAATACAAGACAGGAGCGAGAGGGTTGATGTTCGGCCCTACGTATTCTGATTCTGTACACACCCTTTTCTTCTTACCATTATATTCATATATATATATATATATATATATATATAGTTATATATAGTTATCTGTTTCCCTTCCTCACTTTCACTTTTAGTTAATAGCAGTGAGAGGAACTCTGGAGTCTTTCAAAGCTTGTGCTGCTTCATATGCCGCCAAAATGTGTTTTACATCTCCATTCGCTAGTTTTGTGGATTTTGTTTCCCAAAACAACTTCAATAATTCCTCAAATGGTGGTGTTTTCAGTTCCTCAATGGATGACACACTCGGAAGGTTGAATGACCTCTTCCTCGGAGTCGAACAAGACGGCTTGTCTACCTGTGAGTTTGGAGGAAAGAGGGTTACTATTTTGTTACAATCTCAGGCATTCAACATTTTCTGTAACCATATGCAAAATTAATGAGACAAGAAAAAAAAAAAAAGACATGTTTTTACAGTCTTACCATGTATTCCTCCTCGAGACATTTCCCTGCGTTCTCTGTAATTTCGACAATCTTGTGGTAGTGGTCACCCTTCAGTTCCCTCAAATCCTCGCAACAAGGAACGATCATGGAGTTTGTGTTTCCACAAGCATCATGGTCAAGTTGTAATGAGTCTGTCAGTGTTTCATCGATCAGTTTATTGAAATTTTTTGTAAGATAATCCACAACTGCATATCTGATGTTCATTTATTTTTTCGAATCTAGATACTTACGATTAATGGATGTTAGGCAACTGTTGTTTGCAGTGTCTACATCTTCAAGAGCAGTGGATACAGAAGAAGAAAATTGATCACGGAGGATCTGATTGGTTTCCATCCCACCCCTAATTAATTAAAGAGAAAGAAGATCAGTGATCTAGATCTGAAATTTTCTAGAATACTTTGAGGAAGTACCATACCTAACAATGGAATCCACAGAATCAACATTTCTCTTTTCTAGGCTGAGAAGGGATTCTTGAGCATTCCTCCACTGCTGAGCACTCATTTTTGCTTTCTTCAAACTGCAAATGAATTTTGTAGAATGTTCAGTGCATACTAAAAAGACCATTATAGCATTAACCTGATGGCAGGGAAAAATGTACTAAATGCACCATCATCACGACAACAACTCTGTACCAGTTTTGAAGAACCCCTTCCATGTCTTTCTTTCCGCTTTCTACAGCAGAAGTATCTTTAAGATAGTGGGATTCTGTGTTTTCCATGTGAACATTCCATTCCGTTTTAACAACAGAAGTGGACTCTTGCATGGTATTCATTTCTTTCTGTAGTTCACTGGTTTTGTTGGATGCATTCTCCCGGAGATCATGGACTGCCATTTGGACCTAAAGGAAGAAAAATGCAGGGATTTATTCCCCTCAAAAAAGTTATCAAGCACAGATTAAGAACACACAGCCCGTAAGAATGTCAAAATTCTATAGCACTATATATAGGTACCAGTTTTTTCTTCCTAGCACTTGAACCTGCAAGCAGCTCTGCCACTTTTTGTAGCAATTGCTTCTCTTCATTAGCAGCACATTCCTACATATGTAATAGAATGTCTAAATTTAACTGTAACAGGCTTAATTTAAGCACATCTATCTGAATAAAGAACAATAATCACCTCAAACTTCTTTTCAAATTCAGACAATTTGTTGCCATTTACTGTTTGTGCTTCTTCCACAATTTTGGTCAGTTTGGATGCATGCATGTCTAAAGTCTCAAAGAAATTCACTGTTATTTTAGAAATTGACCTTGCATTGTCTACTGCCCTGGAATGTACCTGAATATGAAACAGAACGAAGTAAGCCTAATACCAAACACCTTTAAATTAAAGGTTAGCCAAGAAACAAAAATATAAATTACAAACCTCACGCTGTTGTTGTGCAAATGCAATTAGCTTCTCCTCTTGCTTGTAAAGACTACTTTGAAGGTCATTAAGTAATGCATCGGCCTCAGAAGCAATTCCTTTGAAGAGCTGAATCATATAGATAACTTCATAAGCAGAAGTAGAAAAAGAAGGTTCACTTGAAAAACTAGCTATCCCAATAGTGCTTACATCTTCCAGGTCATGTGAGTGCTTAGAAACTTCAGAATTTAGATCACCAAAAGTCGACTTGGAATTTCCATCTAGCTTTGTGGCTATATTGTCCAAAGCTTTGATACCTGAATCATAAGTGTTCTTCAACTTCCCTAACCTTCCTCGGAGTTCTTCAGTAGCCTTCAGTTACACAAAGGATAAGCTATTAGAGACTATTGATCAAGTCCCAGAATAAGTTCAAATGTGATATTGAAACCATACCTCTGACTTTGTTGATACAAAGGACTGCATATCTTCCTCCATATCTTTCAGTTGCCGCTCTTGTTGTGTCACAGAAGTTGCTACAGTCTTATGCAAGATTTCAAGCTGCTGGGTCAACTGGGACTGGAACTTTTGGATAAGGGCTCTGTTCCCATCCTCAATTTTATCCTTCCTTTCTGAAAACGAAACAGCATTCAACAAAGAAACCATTACTTTTAAACAACAAGCCATGCTAAAAACAAAGTGTGCTTTGAAGGATACCTACCAATCTTGGCAAACAAATCTGAGACATCTGATGCAGCGTTTTCAAGCTCTGCTCGGAGTTCAAAAGCATGCTCCACAAGTGCTTTCTCTGAAAAAAATTGGGGAAATCAGCATATTTAATATCTGAAACATATTACATAAACAGGCATGAGTTCAAACTAGAGAAAGATAAAACCAGAAACATATTATATACATTATTTATTATCAGAAATGTGCATGTATATCTCATGAAGACCTTACCTTGTATAAACAACCATTAAATGAAGAAAATGAAAAAGGAAAAGAAAAAAGCCCAGAGCAGAAAAGTGTGCCCAAGCAACTTTCCACTAACCAGATTTAAGGAGATTAGATATTAAAAATTCCTTCTCTTTAATAGTTGCGTTTGCTTGTCTATGTTTATCTTCAAGATCAAACAAAGCATTTTCAGTTTCCTCCAGTTTTGTCTGAAAAAAGAAAGAGAGGGTTCAGTTTTGTCACAAGCATAATACAAGAAAAGAACTGACCATCGAAAACTGTAATACCTCTGTCTTTTCAAGCTTCTCACTTAAATCTTCAGTCAACAGCTGCTGTGAATTGTACAGTTCCTGAAGCTCGGTAATTTGCTGCACAAAAGTAAAGAAAGAATAATTAGCTTAACCTCTAAATCCTAAATCATAAAGAACTAAAGGATTGATTTTGATGAAATGTACCTTTTCCTTAGATTCTGACTCAAGTTCCATGCGCTCTATTTTTTCTGACATAGCCTGAGGTAAAAGTTAATATTTATTATTAATCCAGATAAATTCAATCCACCATGAAACTTGGGACAAACAATTCTACCATTCAATCATATGGTTAGAATCCAACCTTCTTCTCTGCTTCTTCATTGAGATAACGATCTCGTGGAATATAAATTCCATTTTTTTCTCTTGCAGCGTACACCTCTGGTTAATCATACAAAAGAGAAACAAAAAGTATCATATATAAGAACCAATCCACAAGATAATTAAGTTTTCTTGGCAAAAAATTTAGGGAATAGTCTACTACCTTGCTTCAGCCTATCAATTTCAGAATATAAATCTTTTATTAAAGCAGATTTCATCATCTTCTGGTTAATCTGTAATAGTAACAAATTTCAATTATTTCAGCATGTTGCAAGGAGAATTAAAGAATTCAATTTTGTATACAAGAGAAATGGGACAGAATTCAGCTTTATAATGTGAGTTTATATAGCAACAAAAAGCTCAAAAGGTGATCCTGATGACTAATCCACTGACCTCTGGTTTGTTCTTGATATTCTTAGCACGGTGTGCATAATCTAGAGTGCTGAGTGTTTCTTCCAGACAATGGATAGATGGTGATATTGTGGCAATTATACATGTTTTTGTTTTCCCTCCCAAGGAATCCCTCAACAGTCTTGTTAATTTGCTATCTCTGCCATTTGCAAATGTATACTATATAAATTGTATCCCAAACATAAACAAGTTGCTAATGAGAAATTTTCAACTATTGAGAATTCATACCTATATGGAACATGACCTGAGTGCTCAACGAGTGCATTGATGACACGACCAAGAGTGAGCAAGCTTTTATTAATCTCTCCAGCTTCCCTTGCTCTGCCCTGTAAGAGTCAATTTACTTGGGATCAACACTTAAAAAAGGTTCAAATATCCTAATATAGACAACACCACATCACATTCTTTGAAGAGAGTGCAACATTAATATCTTTTTCATTTGACTGTTGCATAAGACTCATAGCATGGATATCCACTCTTCAGTCTTTCCACACATTTGCTAAAGAAAATTATACGCTCAGGGTGGTGATGCAATACCTCTCTTGCACCAGAACGTGAAATATTCTCGGAACCAGCAAGGTCAACAAGATTAAGCTTTCCACATTTAATCATTTCTTCCCCCTCCGGAGTGCACTCCTTAATGTGGATTGTAATTGAAAATATAGAATGAGAACGACTACTTTGTTTGTTAAGTAGAGTCTCAGCCGTACGCCTTTTAGCAGAACCTTTTTCCAAGATTTTGTAAATCTCATTAGCAGTTGTTACTATCTCTTCTTCCAGTCCTCTGACAAAA